TGCCATTGAATACTGCCTTGGAAACACCAAAGGGAAGCTGGAAATGCGGCCATGAACAATCGAAGGCTACAAAGGTTAGAGCCTCTCCCTTCAAAAGTGGCCCAGAAGGATAACTTGCAGATTTTATAGAACCTCAGCCTGTAACAGTCAATGGAGAACATGAAGCACTGTATTTATGACCATACATGCTTCTGAAAAAACATGATAGAAAGGACTACATTTTAATGCAACTCAATTAAAAAAGAGAGGGAAACGATGAGACTTTTCCTTTACCTCCCCCCCCCAAAAAAATTGAGTTTTAAAAATACAGAAAAGCACTAACTCAATGAAATCATATCACTCAGGGATATTTTCAATGCAGAGCTGGAGTGATACCACCCCAAACTGGGTTATTTTTTCATTGTTTTGGCTTCCATTTCATTGCATTTATTATAAAAATAGCACCACTTTCACTCTTCTTGAGAAGGGAGAGAATTCATTTGATCATATCAGAAAACCAGGTCTAATGGATCAAGTAAAATAATGTATCTAAATATTACTGAAACAGATAAAATTTTAGAAGCTGAATTATTTCTTGTTTCTAAAAGTCTAATTTATAGTACCAATTCATCTTCTACCTTCCTCACCCTCCTTTATTATTTCTTCTTTTTTAAAATTAATCCTCACCCGAGGTTATTTTTCCATTGATTTTTCAGAGAGAGTGGGGGGAAGAGGGGAGGGGGAGAGGGAGAGAGAGAGAGAGAGAGAGAGAGAGAGAGAGAGAGAGAGGAGAGAGAGAGGAGAGAGAAGAGAGAGAAACATCAACTTGAGAGACACATTGATTGGTTGCCTCCTGCACACCCCAACCAGGGCTGGGGATCGACCTACAAACCAGGTACATGCCCTTGACCAGGAATAGAACCTGCAACCCTTCAGTGCATGGGCCTACTCTCTAACCACTTTACCATGCTGGCCAGGGCAGGGTAGGGACATTGTTGAGGACACGTACACTCTCAAAGTGAAGATGAGCAATCTTTTTTCATATTACTCAGCCAGGAGCTCAGTATTCATGATTGGTCAGGAATTAAAGGAGACAGGACTGAAATCTGGCCAGGTCTGGCCTGACATTAGATGGATACTGATGGTCATTAAGTAAATGACTATGATATGACTATTGTTGGTAATAAGGCATGGGGAGGGGGTTGTAATCTTAGATAGAAAGCAATGTTTTGTGTCTTCAGACATGGCTTGTGGGGAGTGTGATGGAAGCCCTGGTACCTTTCCTGAGGGGAGCACAGCCTTCATTAAAGATCCATTTGTTCCTAAGACCTACATGTTTCTAAGTGCAGGTAAGTGCTATACGATGCCCCCATGCTCCAGTGGCATTCATGAGGAAATCTCCTGCAGAATTCATAGTTAGAATTGCACATCTGATCTGGAAGTTTCTGTTCATAGCATGAATGCACATGTAACAAACCAGACACGCTGAGTGAAATCAGCCAACATCTGATTATTAGCACATGAAAGAAGACCGCGCACTCTTAATTCTACGGAAGGGTTCCTTCCCCACAAACCCACCACTGCACTTCTGACTCTCAGGGGGTGGAGAGATGTGGGTTAAAGAATTCTTGGATCTCTTTCCTCAGTGAAAGTATACACTGCCCAGGTTTGACTTTGGAGAACTAGTTTATACAATCAACAAAAGAAATTTTGCAATGTCTGGCAAATACACTATATGGATGTCATGGTGCATATTTAAATGGAAAAATGATTTCTTAATTCAGATGAATCACCAGGATTCCTGGAACTCCAGAACACAAAGGCAACAATTAAAGTCTCTACTGCTATATAGACTTTTGCTACTTTGGAAAATATCCCGGAAAATATTCATTTGGCCAGAAATATCATCATAGTTTAATTCAGAATTAGAAATAGTTGTGTGTTTTTTAATCATTTGTTCATTTGAAAAGAATCTACCTTGACTATTAGAAAGCATATCAGGATCATATCCAATTATAAGTAGAAAATGCAATACTAGTATTATCTTCATTATAATTTTTAAATGAACAAAACAGTAAATAAATGAGTCATTTTCTAGGAAAGTATGTATCCAAGAGTTCCTTTTAGTACAATGCTTGTGTTAATTAAATGTGAGTCAGTAAACTTTATGAAAATAATAGCAGTTTACGGCATATTATTATTTACAAAATATGTACCCTAACATAAAAAAGTTAAACTGAATACTGTTTAACTTTCATAAAAACTAAAGGATGCAAAAAAGTGAGGTTATAAAGTAGTTGAACACAGAGAAAACTTTTGCAATGAGCAATTTATTTCCTAATAATTTCTGGAAAGCACTCAGATTGTTAAGAATTACCAAAAAGACTACTAGGCTAGAATAATTTAGTTTCACCAAAAAAAAATCTCTGTTGTGTCTCTTAACCTCAAAGCTATGACAGTAAATACACCCTTAAAGGACATTTAAAACACTTAAAATAACTTTAGCAATGTTCTTAAATTGTAATACATTTCCACAGACCTAACTTACATTTTTTTAAAAATTGTCATCAATTGTGCGCTGCAGTTGCAAAGGACACGAGTTTCATATTCTGCTTCACTTTCTACCTTGACTTCAGCAACTTTACTTCAAGAAAAGACCATTATCCTCAATAATTTCACAAAAATATGATGTTTAACCTGCTCATATTGATTTATTTTCAACAGTTTATAAATAATAAGAGAATGAGTCAAAATATTTCTTCGCCAAGTAAAAATGTTAGTATGGGAAAAGACATCACAAATATAAATAAAACTGAAAATATACTTCTATCATAGAATAACAGACAGAGGATTCCTGTCATAACACATAAGCAAACAAGAATCATCTCACTAGGAAAAGAGGCAATTCACCATAGTTGAAAAACAAGTAGTCAATAAATACATGAAAAGCTGTTTATCTTCCAATAAAAATTATGTTAAGTATAGATATTTTTTCTGAAGAAATTAATAAAAAAAGATTTTATAACATTGACAAAATGTGTTGTTGGGAAGAATATGAAGAAAGAGAAACTCCTATACCATTATCAGATTTATATATTAAAACTTTTATCACTTTTTGAAGAACTATTTAGCAAAAAATAAGTATAAATGCTTTAGTCATTTCGCTTCTAAGGATATAACTTACTAATCATTCAGAAATGCTTATTGAGAAATCAACTGATACTTTTCATAAAGTGTAAAAAATACATAAAAATATATACAAAGATGCTTATTTCACATTGTTTAAAATTAAAAATGAAAACCTAATCAGTAGATTAAATAAATTAATATAAAGCATTGGGATGTAATACTAGGAAGTTTTGACAAAGACACATATTTATTTGCATATTTTCCATTTATGAAGCTCCATGAGGGCAGATCATTGACCTAAGTTCACACTTGTGCATCTTAGAGTCACAAATCATGCTGAACGTGGAACCATGACCAGATTTCTATAACAACTCTGCAATCATAATTGTCACTAAAATATTTCTCCAAAAATTTCATCAAATTTTATGCATTATTTTTCCCCAAGACATTTATAAAGAGGAGGGGAAAGTTTGTTGCCTTTTTAACACACTAGGTACAAACAAGTTCAAGAACAAAAGCTTATGCACAAAATGCATCGGATCTTATCAGGAGTTACCATGTGGAGGCCTTGCTGCCGTTAAGCTGTACAACTTCCACAGGAAAGCAGACCACTGGTCACTCCTTTACACACTCTGTCCCTGGCTTTAGTCACAAAGGATGATTAAAAGGGAAAGATACTACTTCACTAAAATTATATCTGGAAGGCATTGTAAATTACAACATTTACATTTACAAGAATATAAAAAATTATACTTATTGAGCTTTCACCTGTACTTTTCTAAGAAGGGCCCATTTTACCTAGGATAATTTATAAACATAGGAATTTACTATTATTGAAGGAGATTTCTTCATTTTACATGTTATAAATCAAGGTATCTTGACTTACCAATTTTACTTGACCCAGAATATGTTCTGGTTGTGTTTTCATTAGCTTCCTTTGTTAGAGTTACCCTAACAAGACCATCTCAGAATGAACACTAATAATGGTATCTGAAATTTATAGTCTCACGAGGGAAAATAGCAATACAATTTGCAAGAGGTAAAGAAATAAGGAAAACTAAATATTAACAAGTCAATTGGTCAAAACAACTTCTCATAAGAAGAGCACTATTGTATATATACACTATGCGAACGCTTGACCTAAATGTCCCTTCTCCATGTTCAGGTTACTGACTGCTTAGGAAAGATAAAAGGCCAATTTTGGAGGAGGACTTTATGAAAATCTTTTATGAAGGAAATTTGTGTCTTTTCCATATAAAGTTATTCTTGGATGAAGACCCTGCCATATCCACATGCATACCACCCTTTAAAAGCAATTAGATTGTGATAATCCATTAAGGATTAAAAGTTCCTTTCTTGAAAAAGTTATATTCATTTTCAGGCAGGCCTTGCTTTGTGCCAACCAAAACCTGTGTATATTGAGATGGTGACCTCCCTTTACATGGTTCTGTGCTACCTGGCATCAGGACACAGTTCCAATATGCACACATTTCAGTTAACATGCTACTGAATACGGTGAGTGCTGACCGTATCCTGTCTAGTCTGCTCAGTCTCATGCAAAAGACACCGATGTTATGGGATCAAGTTACAAGTTTACCTGTGGGCAAAATTTTATCTAACAGTTCAAGACCTATCGCCCTAATGCCTGCACTGTTCTTCATCTTGTTGAGGACTGTGGAAACTTGAACAACAACAAGAAAAGACAACAACAAAAATGTGTTCTTTTTTGCAGTTCAATAGATTGGATTCTCGGGTAGTATTTTTTAAATGATAGTTGACATACAATTTTGAGCTAAGTTCTAACCTGATTCATAGAATCAATGCAGATAATTGTCTGATAACAACCTAATGTTATAATGTTGGTTTGCAAAGATGGTAGAGTTAGTACATACCTCAAAGCCAGGACTCAGAGGAGACTTAGAGATGAAGTTGTAAAAGCAAAAAGCAGGCAAAGGAGCAGAATAAAGGGAGGAAAAAGACAAAAAAAATATATAGTGTTATTGGAGGAAAGCAATGCATATTACTCAATAATGTTCTATATAGGTTTGTTTTCAAGAGAAAGCGAACTGTTATACTAATTAGTCTTTGTGGCAACACAAACAGCTGGGTTGGAAATTACTTTTTAACATTTCAATAGGATTACAGATACAAACTCAAGGTTGCAAAAACAATTTACAGTTGTGAGCTAGTAAAGGTAAAAAAAAAATACTGCTTGCCATAGTGTCAATGATGACAGACTGTTCTTTCACCTTGTTGAAAATAAATTATAGACAGAATGAAGCATTTTTGACCTTTAAGTTAAAGATTAGATTTTCTTCACAATAATGTATCCTCTCTATGGGAAAAGGAAGAAAAATGTCATCAAAATAATCAAATGTTACACTATTGCTTTCTGCCTACTGGCAAGAATAAGTCAGTGGTTTACAAACCTGGAAATTCCAATACGGGCTTAGAGTTATAATGAGAGAAACATGTCCCATGCATTCTTTGTTCATTTTAGAGTCTTTGTTGCAGATCATTGTTTTCTGTCTGATTTCATTCAAGGTTGAAATATAATTCAAAAGTGAAAATCTATTCTGAATGCTTTTATGAGGAGAAGGAATATCAGTGAAAAATATAAGAAAAATCTTGGTTAAATAGACAACACATATCTGGTAATTTATAATGAATATGTTCTTTTTCATCGCTGTTCCTTCAAGCCTTTTTGAGCAGCTCTTTTAACTAAAAAACAAATCAAAACTAAAATAGAGTTGGCTCTTTTTCATAACAAAAATGCATGACTGGTGTGTCTCAGAGGTTGAGCATCAACCTATGAACTAGGAGGCCACGGGTTGATTCCTGGTTAGGGCACATGCCTGGGTTGCAGCTCCGTCCCCAGTGGGGGTAATGCAGGAAGCAGCTGATCAATGTGTCTCTCTCTTCATTGATGTTTCTACTTCCTTTTCCCTTCCTCTCTGAAATCAATAAAAAAATATTTTTTAAAAAAATGTGTGACTGTGTTTTGCAAACAGTGATATTTCTGGTGTCCAATAAACTTTTGCACTTTGAGGAAAAACTGTAGATTTTTTAACTTTAGGCTCCTTGATAACTACATACATGATGTAAAGTACATTTTCATGTTTACTGGCTATTGTTTTTGTAAAGTGTTCAAATATTATGCCTATACAGAACGGAGTTGTCTGTATTCTAACATTTTTATAGATTTTTTTATACATTCTAATTTATTTTTTTTATAGGATACTAGAAGCCCAGTGCACGACATTCATGTACTGGGGGGAGGGGAGGGTCCCTCAGCCTGGCCTGCGCCCTCTCGAAGTCTGCAGTCTGGGACCCCTCAGGGGATGTCCGCCTGCCGGCTTAGGTCCTGCTTCTGACTCAGCAGTGCTCCCCTGTGGAAGCACACTGACCACCTGCATTGAGTGTCTGCCCCCTGGTGGTAAGTGCACATCATAGCGATCAGCTATTCCTCCGTTTGGTCAATTTGCATATTTTATTATACAGGATATACATTAAAAACCCTCCCATTTTGTGACTTGCTTAATGGCATATCCTCCTAGTCTCTGGCTTATTCAATGGTATATTTCAATAAAAATAACTTCCTAATTCTAATAATGTTCAATTGATCAATCTTTTCCTCTTGCCAACAGTAATTCGAGTCCTGTTTAAAACAGCCTTTTCTACTCCAAATTCTTGTACATATGTTTGTATTGGTCCCAACATTATTTGTTGAAAAGAGCATCATTTTCTCACAGTAGTGGTACCCTTGTCATAAATCAGTAGACCTGTATAACCATGTAGTTTCTGGACTCTCTCTATCCTATTTCATTGATTTATTTTTCTATTCTTGTGTAATACCACATTGTCTTAACTGTGGCTTTATAAAATGTTGGGAAACTCTCCAGCTTTGTTTTGCATCAGGGGTTCTCAAACTCAGCAGTACTGATAGCTTGAGCCTGGTACTGCTTGCTGTGGGGGGCGGTCCTGTGCATTGACCACTCTGTGATGTCCTTCTTTCTGACACATTGGTCCCTCAGAATCCTGATTGTGAGGTGCTCTTGGGTACCTTTAAATATTGTTTTACTCTTTGTTATATTTTACTCAGCTTTTATAATTGTCCTTTGCAGGGCGGCTGATCTGATACAAGCTTCTTCATACAGTCTTTGATAAGCATGGTGTCAAATGGCTTTAACTTTTCCCAAATACCACAAGAATAATTGTAAATAAAAAGATGAGTAAAGCATAATGAATTGACAAGATCCTTTAATCCTAACTTCTCTTCTGCAACTGTCTAAAGTCTCTAAAATGGATATCATCTCAATATGTCTATTTATATGTAATGATACAATCAATATATTAGTGAGTCCAACTTAAGGATCTGCTGCATTTTTCTTGTTTCTTTCTTATACTGGTGATGATTTACAAAATGATATACACCTCTACATAGCTATCTGCCATAAATTGACTACATTTTGGATTTTCTTAAAAGATGAACTGCTTTTTGGTTAGTATATTTGACAGTTTACTGACAAAGTTGATGAGAGATAGAGCTCGTTATATAACCTGTGTTGTTATCCTCTCTTCCTATGTTAGCAACATGATTGAAATTGGAAATTCAATTTATGTGTCCAAAATGGACAAATTAATGAAATTACCAATATCTTCATCTGTATGTGAAATGGAGATTTTGTAGTCAAAATAGGGAATCAAGTAGCGAAGAGAAAAAATCATTTTCTTAGATTTGAGAGAAATCTATATACCAATCATGGCCGACTTGCAATATGGTGATCTGGTGGCATTAATGAACAATGCCATTATCCTTTTCAGTAATGGAAATATCCTTTATGGTATATAAAACTAAGAGGTTTAATTATTATTGCCATACTATTACCTGTGACTAAGCATGCACTATAAATTTTAAACTATAGTTATTGGGTTACTGGCCTTTCATGTCTTGCCTAGGGATAAAAAGCGACATACTCATTATACTCCAGGCATGCCTGGGTAAAGCAGGGTAGTTTTGCCCAATAAAAAGGAGCCAAGGCATGGCCCACAGAACTGGGAAATCCATGGCCTCCTCAAGGTGAGCCAACGTTTCCTCTTTCCTCAGAAATTGGATAAAAAGAGACACAAATGCACTCATGAGGGTACAATGGGGTCTGATGTACGGAAAACAGTTCTGAGAGCCGCTGTGTCCGTGTCACACATTATTCCCAGAGGCATTTCTCATTGAAAGTTACCTGCAGGGCATCTCATACAAGGTTATGAACATTTATGATAATATTTTTCAAAGTATCTTATGGCCCATAAGTATCTGATTTGACCACAATTTTATAAGCATTCTTGACAGACATGTTAAAGTATGATTTTTAATAGTATACTTTAAAAATATAGTTAAGCATTCTACTACAAAAATGTGCATCCAGTAAAAAAACACTAGTGATTTCAACATTTGTTGTGAAATATAATTTGGAATTAGGTATCTCAAAAATTAAATAATTATTTAATTTGGTTAAATAGGCAATTAAATAATGTGGTTTAAAACATGAAAACCCATGTTAAAGACTATAGTTGTGTAACCTAAACTACAGTTATAAATTATATATTTATACATATATGCATTCATATGATAATTTAAATGTATAATATAATTTAAATGTATAATTTAGTCCATACTTATAAAATTTAACTTATATATAATTTTTTGAAGTATTTATATACACATCTATATGTGTATATGTTATAAAAAGTTGGCTTAGATTTAAAAAAAGAGTCTTCAGCATTAATCATTCTAGATCCTAATCTATTCGTGAGATATTAAATAATTTAAAAAAAAACCTTTTCTGGTAAAACTGAAAACAATACACAATTAATTTATAATTTTATTTATTAAACTTGTTTTTAAATGTCTATCCTGTAAACAGTATGACTATCAGTTACTATCCTTAAAAGCAAAAGTAGCTGTTGTAACTTGTAAAAATCACAACTTATAAAAATTCACACTAAATCAAGGAACTTCAGAGTTGGGAAGGTGACATGAAGAGTTATTTGAAAAAATAAATAGCTTTTGCCCGGCCAGGTGGCTTAGTTGGTTGGAGCATCATCCTGTACACCAAAAGGTTGTGGGTTCCATCCCTGTTCGGGGGCATGTGCGAGAGGCAACCAATTGATGTTTCTCTTTCACATCAATGTTTCTCTCTTTTCCTTCCTCTATCTCTCAAATAAATAAAAATATACACTTGGGTGAGGATTAAAAAAAAGTAAATAGCTTTTGATTTAAGCACCTTTCTGTAAGAACATCACTATTTCCAATTAATATAAGTTTATGGAACAATATATAGTCACACACATACATTCTGAATGTTACCAGCTATTGGTGGAATTTAGTACCTGCTTTCTCCCAAAACAGAGTATGAAATTTGCTAAATTATCAAAATGAGCATTCAATTGAGTTATATGTCTGGTTTAGTCTATAACAAATTCAAGTGATATAGAGATCACAATAAAATATGTTTCAAACAAGAAGCTAATTAATAAAACTTTTTAGGTATCTTAAATATGTATGACCACTCTCCACCCCAAGAAGGATTTATTTAACCTAAAAGCTGCAGTAATTTTTAATTTTTTTCCTTAATTAAATTTTACAACAGCTAGATTATAAAGAGTTCTTTGTAAAATCCATTGGGGAATGGAATAGATATGGGAAATTTAAAGCCTCACACGATTAGCTAATTTCAGAAAAAAAACGTTCTTATTTTAAATAATTCACATAATTACCACATTTTTTATTTTGTTTTCAATGTTTGAAAAATCCAAATGTAATTTTCCTAAAGAATAATATTTAAGCCATGTCAATGAATTATATATTTTAGAGCTAATGGAATGCTTTAATGTATTAAGTGCTATTTTTCTCACAGCATTTGTCAATAGTGTCATTCTGACCATACACTGGAATGTATGCTAGTAATGCCATGCAATTAAATACTTTTATATTTCCATTAAGATATGGGTGGGGAACAGTTCTTCTGCCAAGGGCCATTTGGATATTTATAGCATCAATCACAGGCCATCCAAAATTATCAACTTAAAAATTAGCCTGCTATCTTTGGTCAACATTTAATTAACTAATCCCCAATGCCTTGGCAGGGCCAGACCAAATGATTTCGAGGACCTTATATGGCCCGTGGGCTGGACATCCCCCACCCCTGCATTAAGAGAACATTTCAAATTTTCTCCCCGAAAAAATATCCAGCTATGCCACAAAAGACTTTAATAATCTTCAGAGAAAAACATCGCTCATCTCTATTTTCCAAATTTTGACAAGCTTATGTTTTGTAAAATTCACACATCAGTTTGTGCTGCTCTGGCCCTGTGACCACAGTGAAACCTCACACATTTTGTAAACTCACAGATAAAAGCAAACTCAAAGCTGTTGGATATGTGATGAAGCCTTGAGCAATCTACAGCACAGGCCCCAATGAAACGTTTACACCCTGGCTGTGTCCTCCCTTGCAGGGAGGGCACTGTCTTGGCTGACACCGCTGTCACTTTGTCCCACAGATTTCTCACATGAAGGGGGAGTGGATGAACAGAAGGCCCTACCAGAAGGGGCTCATCCGGGACACTGGTGGACAGCTCAGCCTACCAGAAGGGGCTCATCCGGGACACTGGTGGACAGCTCAGCAGACACTGTGCGGACCGTGCTGAGCCCAGTGAGGGAAACATTTTAAATGCACATCTCTTATGGTAATTCAGACCACATCCTGGAAAAAGAAAACAAAAAATGGCTTTTGTTCAACCATAACCTGGAAAAAGAAAATAAAAATGGTAAATTTTGAATTTTTTTTACAATAGTACTGTTTCCATTTCTTTTGGGGCTACTTGGAAATTTGCATTTTCTTTTGCGCTTTTTCTGATTTATTTTTCCAATCTGTAAGTAATCTGGGTTTTGAATTCTGATTTTATTGAATGAGCTCAGCAACTATTGTGTTTACCATTTTTTCGAAATGTCCTCTGATATAATGGATTTTGGCTTTAAAGGACCCAGCAACAAAACTCCGAAGAGACTATCTGAGCCATTTTCAGCTGCCACAAGTTCTAATGTGAGTGGACACACAGGGAAATTAATCACAAAACAGCACAAATTCTGAACGACATTGATTTTAATCCTGGCTCCACAGGTTCAAGGGGTTTTTCCACAGAGGATGATAAAACTATGATACTGGTATACAAGCTGGAATCCGCCACTCAATAGCAGAGTGACCTGGGACGGTTTGATGAACTTCCTGAATATCTGCTCACTTCAACAAACACTTATCGAATGTCTACTATTCCAAGATTTGAATTAAGATGACAAGTTTATTTTTTGTCTGTTGCCAAAATAACCAACACAAAAGAAACATACGCATACAGTATAGGGAAAATATGTGAGAATAGGGTTTCCTAGATCAGAGCAAATACGTTGAAGATTGGGAGTGTAAAGGAATGAACAGAAGAATTCATGCAGCCCCAAGTCCCTGGGAGACATCTGAGGGGAAGAAGACATTGTTGTAGACGGCACAACATAGGCAGATAACTCCAGCCTGTGTTCCACTTGGTTGGGGAAGGAATACCTTACCTTCACATTTGAGGCCTTGACGGACCAGCCCCCACAGCATTTCTCCACAGTGGTCACAGAAAGCGGGAGCTCTGTACGAATGAACGAAGAGGGCGTGGGGGCGGATCTGGAAGTCTTCAAAGGTGGCAGAAGCTGCAAAAATAGCAAAGTTGGAAAATGAGTTGAATGGATACCTTGATCTGTAGGTAGTTAGTATGCAAGATAATGAATATAAAGTATAGCTATAACTCTCCCGGCAAAGTTAAGGAAAGATAAGTTGCAACCTGGCTTGGCTTTTAGCCATTAGACTCCATTCTTTCCAACCACAGTTTTACAAGTGGTGCCAAAGCAACTCTAGCTCTTCTCTTCCTGCTTGCCAGTCGCAGGCCACTTGGAAAACAGCCAAAATGCTGGCAGAAAGCATGAATGAAAGGATAGCTCAACTCAATGTACAAATACCTGATGTTACTTAAAAACATCTTGCTTTTGCTTTCCTGTAAATGAAGCAGAAAGGTATTCAGAAATATTAATGAAAAGGAAAATTATGATGAATTTAGATCAGAAGGTAGTATAATGGAATATGACCCGAATGGGTACATGAGGGGAGTGGGGCCCAATTGGAAGAGAGGAGAAATCTGAGCAGCCTTTCCTGGGGAGACAGTTATTTGAGCTCTTAGGCACTACAGGTTGGCATTTAAATCCTGAGCTAAACATAAGCAAGTAGCCTCCTCAACAATAAGCCAGAGAGTTTAATACACACTCAGGTGAATTCCAGTCCATTCTTTGAGAAATATACTGTAGCAAATGATATTCATGCTGTCGGCCTTTTTTTTTCTTGCTTATTGGAATTTATTCTCTATGGTACTCATGCAGAATACTAAAATTCTTTTTTTTATTATGTTTTTCTACGTATTTTATGATGTTATAAAAATGGCTGATGCATTTTGTTGTTGTTCAAGTCAAGAAGTAGATATAAAGAATTGAAAGTGAAAGACAACCTCTTTTCCCCAAATTCTAATGCGTAAGGGCGTAGCTTTTACACCTCTTCACACACATAGCCTGATGTGGAGACTGCTCAGTACAGTGCAGAGATGCGGCCTGGGGTGAGAGGAGCTGGATGAAGCTCTGCCGTTGCCTATTTGCCCATGGAGCCTGAGGTCGAGCCTGCCTCCGTTTCTCAGACACTCCAAGACAGCGGTTCTCAACCTGTGGGTCGCGACCCCTTTGGTGGTCGAACGACCCTTTCACAGGGGTCGCCTAAGACCATCCTGCATATCAGATATTTACATTACGACTCATAACAGTAGCAACATTACAGTTATGAAGTAGCAATGAAAATAATTTTATGGTTGGGTCACAACATGAGGAACTGTATTTAAAGGGCCAGAGGGTTGAGAACCACTGCTCCAAGAGAAGGTCTGACTTATGGTGACTTCCCCAGGCCCTTACACTTTAAACGTCCATTAATGTTAGGACAGACCCATGTGTACTTGATTTCATAAGGTTTTTATTCAAAGAGAATTTGGGGGGAGATTTTAGGCCTTAAATATATCCTTCTATGCCTTTCTCTTCCTCTTGTCTGTCCTCTTGCCTTTTTCAATATACATTTGTTAAGCACCTTCAAGGCTTCCAATGGGACAAGACCTGGGACAAACATGTAAAGAGAAGTAAGACATCTTCGCAGAGCCTACCAGACTAGCAGGAAAGACAAACAAACAAAACAAACAAACAAAAGAAGCCCACAGTAATTATAAAGTAACTTCTAAGGTTCAAAGAAGCTACATAAGTTACATAGATACTAAAGAGAAATAGGATTACAACCCACAGGTGTTTGGGCCCCAATATACTGTTCTTTTCAGTATTATCTGTGATACATCTTATCTTCCCCAACGCTGCCGGCAGAATTATATCCAATGGCCACATGATGTGGGGAATAAACATTTGCAGTTGTCCTGCGGTGCCTGGATGGCAGGCTGTAGGGTAATCACTGGGTACATTTATAAAATACCTGTTAACTCAGGTCTGCAAGGTGTGACAGAGTGAAGGATGAAAAAGCAGGCAATTCATCTCTGCTACATAGGTATCCACAATTATGGGAACAAGTTTGAAGGTTTCACATCCATCAGGGCAGGTGAATCAGTTCTACCAGAAAGAATATTATTGAGGGTTCACAGGACACATAACGGGACCATAATAGATGATTAAAATTGTAATGGGTTGTTTTTTCCTTGAACCTTGAATAAAAGTACTTTACCCCAAATTAATGTGCTGTATTATTGAAAATCACCTATCAACTTATTCAAGTTATAATTTTTATGCAATTGGAAAGATAAAGGAAATAATAACAGGAACAACTAAGATTCATTAAGCGCTGACTGTATACTGAACACTATGCTAGGAGAGTTAAGTGTGGAAGATGGGACTGATCAAGGTTACTGTAGCCACATAACCGTGCCCAGCCTTGTCCACATGGAATCCTAACCTGTGTACTGTCTGGGCACCTTTTGTGGTTTGATCAAAATGTGTCTAAATTTGGGAATGCTAAATCCACTTTAAAGTTGGTCTCACATACTCAAGGACAAAATTTGCTTTTATAACATCAAAGAAAATAGTTAAAGAAAATATTTATGCCAACCATTAATTCCTGGCTTCTCCATCCCCACCCCCACCCCCTCAAGGACCAAACAACTATGACAAGTAGTTGAATAATTACTGTAGTTTTCAAAATAAGACACATTAGAATTTGACAATACTAATACCAAGTTGCATATAGATAGTTTTCTAAATTAATCAGGAAGAATATAAATCATTAAACTGAAGATTTTCAGTAAATCCCCCCTCCCAATTTATGTCAGGTAAGTACGTTTATTTGCTTTTTGAAAGGGATTAACATTCATAAGCTGTTAGCACCCTTGACTTATGTTTAAATGCCATTTTCTAAAGTTCAATTTTAATATTTTCTTGTTAATGTTAAAATAATTAATTACATTTAAAAAATAAAACTACCAAGTGTAGTGAGGTTTTACATCCATTTGAAATCAAAGCACAACCTCCATTCATTATGAATGTACTTGTTCTGCACCCCAGGGAAGCAGCATAGCTGGGTGTATGCATGCCATCTCACCTAATCACAAAATTGCACTTCAGAGATAATCACTTAGCACAGGAAAACAAAGTGAATGCTGTAATTCCATTTCACTTAAGTTTTGGAATCCAAATGGACAGATAAGAATAAGAATATTAAAGTGTCTAGAGATTCCAGGAGATGAACAATGTGCTATCTGTCAGTCTGTTATAATCAATCAGCCGACCTAAATTAAAACCATATGACAGAGCTACAAACTGAACACAATGGGCCCCTTATACTGGTATTTGTGTTTCTTTGATTTGCTCTATTCACAGTCTATTGTTATACTCCAGAGTGAGGAGAGGAGAAAATGACGTGCTTTCCTTAGTCGATGAACATTTGAAATAGGTAATTGAGCCAAAAACTCTAAGATAATCAGTAGTTCTTTTAAGGTTCATTATAAATTGTTGCACAAAGTGGAATAAAGCATTTGGTTAGCAGTACACATGAAATGAGGCTTCCAAAGCAAAATAAATAACTTCTGGGGGTCAAAATTATTTGCATAATAAAATAAAAACATGTCAGATTTTCCAAGATTTACTGGTAATTTTGGCAATTAGGGAGTAACATTAACTCTTTCTGGCAATAACAAGTTGGGACAGATATAATAAAAAATAAAAGTTTAACATATTGCAAGTATCATCTCAATTTTTTACAAGCAATCTATGAGGCACATATTATTATTTCCATTTTATAAATGAGAAAACTGAGTCTCAGAGAAATTAAGAAGCTGCCCAAGGTAACATAGGATCTTGAGTCAAATAGTCCTGACACCTATACCATACAAACTCTCTCAGCCACTCTGATATTTCTCTGACCATTGAAACACTACGAATAACAAACTACATCTTTATTTTATAAGACACTTGGAAAGATGAACAAAAAACTGTAATTAATAATATACACCATCATTGTAAGATGCACCCTTATCTCAGAAATGCAAAAACTACTGGGGAGAGGAGTCTATGAAATAATGTACAGAATGAAATTCATTCGGGTCATGATAAAAAAATGATAAAAATTAATATGCTTTCTGCATAGACTTCATTTTTTTGAAATCCTTCCCCATCCAAATTGGAGTTAGTAACAGTAACTAGTTTTTAAATTTTTATAAAAATTAACTTTAATGCAGAACTACAGCCAATTGGAGCTTATATTTACATGATAACCATTGTCACCACATTCAGTCAGTAAGTCTGGCCAAAATCAAGACACTGGGGAGTTTTTAAAAGCTGTGAAGATTTGTTGGGACAAGTTTGTTTTTCCCTTAGCCTTTGGAATATTGAAAATAGCTTCTGGATATCACTCTCCCAACATAAACACACATACTCATCTGTTTTACAGTGTTCTGGATGAGGAACATCCTAACCATCTCCAGTTAGCATCTTGCCATTCACCCATACACACATGTAGCAGAGATACTTCAAATTATTAGAAAGTGTTTTTTATGAGTCCCAAATACTCCTTTGTAACTTCTAACTGGTTGTCACAGTTCCAAAAGCAAGCATTTAAAATTAAGATATTTTCATGTCTTTTTTTTTAAATCAGCTCATGTGAACCAAGCAGTCTTAATACCTTCAAGCATCATAGTTAATTTATGTTATTTGCTATTAATACATCTAGAACCTACTAGGTAATGTAGTGTAGGCCAGAAATAGAAAAATGAGTAGTATCTGTTGTTAAGGATTCAAAGTCAAAATGAGAATGACCCATGAATAATTAATAAAAAATGCAGGGATAGAAACACAAAAGAAAGGGGGCTGAGACTGCCTGGAACAGATTCTTGAAGGATGAGAATATTTTGAAAGGCAGAGAATGAAATAAAGAAAAGAGGACATACCCTGGCTGGGTGGCTCAGTTGCTTGGAGCATAGTCCCATGCACCAAGAGGCTGCGGGTTCGATTCCCAGTCAGGGCACATACCTAGGTTACGGGTTCGTTACTGGTTGGGACATGATTGGAAGACAACCAATTGATGTTTCTCTCCCATCTCTTTCTCTCTCTCTCTCTCTCTCTCTCTCTCTCTC